GTGTCCTTGGGGAAATATTCTGAATATGGCAACAAAGATGAGGACAACAGTCCAAACAATGTAAATAGGGTAAATAATTACAATACCGCTTGACAGAAATATAGACAGATTAATAATTTATCAAAATAAAATAAAATAATAAATAATAATTACATGAATAAATAGATAAATTAATAGATAAAAATTCAACTACAACAATATTTACTCATTTTCATTTCCCCCGCTGTTCATTTTAAGGTCCTCAACAAAATCCAGAGATTGATATGCAATGTGACTGGCACTGATATGGCATCTCGTTTACAGTCACTCTCTCACAGACATGCCTTCACTTCCCTCTGTCTTTTCTACAAATACTTTCATGGTAACTGCACCAGCAAGTTACTTTCGCTAGTTCTCAAACTGCATGAATTTAAACATGCTACTACATTGGCATCTCAGTCCCACCCTTTCACTATTGAAACAGTAAAATGTAGCCATCTCTTCTTCTCCAATAGCTTCATGTCTCACACTTCCTGTCTGTGAAACTCCCTTCCTCTTGATTCCATGATAGCTATAATCTCCAACTATTCAAATGCAATGTCAATCAACATCTCCAGATGCCGTGATCGAATTCCCCTTCCTTCTCTTCATCCTTTCTTCTATCACACCTCTTTACTCTTGCTTCCACTCCCTGTAACTCCTTGCATGTTAGTGGCACTCCTGCCTTACTTTGGGTTGAAAAGCTTTAAAAAATTTTTTTTTAAATTTAAAAACTTAGGCATTACATTTTTTAGTGTCCTCCATTGTTTACCCTTTCTTATAAAGTTGGCTTTAAGAATTTTAAAATTAGTAACTTTGTCGATACATTTCTTATGCATTACTTATGTTTATAAATGCAAGTTGCAAAATAAAATCTCTATATTTAACTTAATAAAGTCCCTGAAGCATGTTGGTAAATAAAAGTTTTCTTTTATCCTTATTCATATATATATATATATATATATATATATATATATATATATATATATATATTGTTTATACATTATTTTTATAGATACAAATATTTAAGTAAATGGTCTGTTTATAATAAACAGTATTAACAACATTTACCGGCCTAAATGTCTGAGAAATTTCATAGAAAATATGTGTTCTCCAGTAAATGTTAATATTCTTTATTATAAACAGAGCATTTACTTAAATATTTGTACTTATAAAAATAATCTATAAACAGAAAATATATTAAAATAATTGTCAGACTTAATCCATTTCATAATAATGGCTTAGTAGTAGAATCCCGGACTGACACCAATTCAGTCGGGTTTCGATCCTAGCTAGAGGCAACCAGACATCGAGCAACACTGATGAGCTGTGATACAGCAAAACAGTCTGTCTGCAGATGACAATATATATATATATATATATATATATATATATATATATATATATGTGTGTGTGTGTGTGTGTGTTTGTACAAGTATAGGATTGGTGTAGATGAAAAAAATACCAATAACCAAAAATACTATTCTTAAAAGAGTGCTTAATACAGAGTAGAACAGATATTATTTATTCAAAAATTATAAAATAAACATGTTATAATATCACTAGAAAAATAGTCATTTTGTTTCAACACTTCTGGTGTTTTATCAAGTGATGGAAATACATTTTTAGTACCACACCATAATAAAATAAGATAGGGATCATAATTTAATTTTTAACAATTAAAACTGAATATACTAAATATGACCTCAACTAAAATCAAATAAAATAAATATAACCTAAGCTGCCTTTCGACTGGCACTTCATCAGAAGTCAGTCATCAGTATTAAAATACACCTGAAGGGGTTTTATTTTTTTTAAGAAAAATAGGATCTTAAAATTGGAGAGAAAGCAAGAGGGGGAAAAAGAGGAGATAAGTGATACTAAAACATCTGGAAGAGGTATGGCATGTGGAACTGGAACAATTTACCCCAGTGGATGAAATAAAGGATTCAGTTCAGAATTCCAGTCACCTAAAGAAGACCGAAATGTACAATGGCCAAAACAATTTGAATATGGCAATGAAGTTCACGCAATGTGAGTAGTGTAAATAACCTGAAAAAGGTTGATAAGCCATAGAAAAATGAATTAATCAATTGCTGTCAGTTGAAATTTATAAAATCTTTTTCTTAAAACAATTTTTATTGAAAATAGGTTCACAAATTTCACTATCATTTCACAAAATCCAAACCCAATTTATCAATTATCAAAACTCTTCAAAGATAGCATCTCCCTATTTTTTTTTATGTGCCATGTAATTTCAGGATGTAGGCAATCATGGTTGTCCACTTTTACCTATATTTTATGACAGGAAATGGATTTATTTTTATTTTTTTTATGTAACAGCCACCTATGATTTAATCATGCTAAAATCACTGGTTCCCATTCACCAAAGTTAGGGAACATCGAACATAGTCAGTACTTAGACAGAGAACTTCTTCGAAGCATCACAACCTTCTAGAATCTGAAATATTTTTTTTTTTATTTAAATAATCCACAAAGCATTGAAAAGACATAGAAAACAAACCAATCAATGTAGCTGCTTTAATATATCCCCTCCCAGAAGTGGAGCTTCTAAGTAAAATAGTGGAACTCCTTCCATTTAGAAAACATCATCCATTTTTCTGAACATGTCATTCAAGGAGGAGGTTAGGATTTTGTCTGAAGTGTCATTATCCACAGGTTCATTTTCCTTGGTAATTTCACTATCAGTCATTAGTCATTGCTCAGTTTTTGATTCAGCTGGAGGTCATCGTAGTTGTTTTACAGGTTTCAGTCTGTCCAAAGACTAATTTGTCTGCTTTCCAGGGTGAAACTCAATGGTAAAATACTTTTCAGTTTGTTTTAGCACTTTAAAAAGTCCAGCATAAAAGGGTCTCCAATGGGTGTCTCACTCTGTTAATCTAAACCAGACTTGGGTACATTTATTCAGTACTTGGGAAATTAAAGTCTTTGGAACAGTGTGTATGTAATCTTCAGATAATGGTTTAGTTTCCAGTTTCATCATTTCCTGTGATAATTGCCTGACTTTCTCATTATTAAAGTTTATTGCAGGGCATTCAAACCTGGTGGGAATTGTCTTCCCAGGGAGGAATTTCAGGGTTTCAGGGGAGGGAATCTTTTACTTGTTTCTTATTTGTAGAATTTGGACCCCATCACGAATGCCAAAAAAGACGTTATGATGAATCTTAGTTATCAATTAAAACAAATTACTGTACATGTATTCAAGTTTAAAAATCCATCAACATTTTCTATTGCTACTAAATTTGTAAAGCACCTCAATAAAAATAATCCATATAAATGTACAGTGTCCATTAAGTCTCTTTACAATTTAAAAAATATATTACAAAGGCAAATGACGAGATATCTTAGTCATATTTCTTCTATGTACTCTGTAGTTATGAACGTTTTTAATCACACTGCATTTGTGTATTTCAGGTATCCTGTTGATGAAAAAGGAATTGTTAAATGCACCCCTAAAAATGTTTACTCCTCAAGTAAAGGTACAATATGCATCATGGTTTATTGAAATAAAATAGGATATGCAGACTCAGCGAAACTACAGAACTTCTTTCTATGCAGTTATGTTAATGATATTATGTATTGAACAAAGATATGGAACATTATTTATCTAAAGCAAAAGATCCCTGATGCCATTGCCACCATTAATGAGGCTATGTTACAGCAAACATAACAAGAAATCAAGTACCATCTTGATGTGCTTCCTGCAACTAATGATGCCTATATAAAAGAGTATTAAATTTGTTAAAAAATCTTCAATATCTACTGCACATTTTGCAACAATTTCCACATATGTTCATTTGCTTTTGTAATAAATTTTTTAAATTGTAATGAGATTTTATGGACTGTATCTGTACTAATATGGAAAAGAATGAAGATTTCTAATTACCCCTTTCTCAAAGATGAAACATTGCAAGAGACAGTGAGTGTTCAGATGAACTAAACTCCTTAGTTCCACCTGTCATTGCTAAGATCCACCATGCCGCAAACATTGTAGCAAACCACCCTCATTCCATATGTATTACCCTAGAGAGATTTAAGTTCTACTCAAGCATCTTCTTCCCAACTGCCTTGTGGATCCAGCTCTAAAGAGGTTGCTTCCCAATCATTACAATCTTAACCTGTTCAAGTCTAGGGCTAACCATTATCTTCCACAACTATCTGCATAAGGTGTACCAATTACTGTGGCCCCAGAACCTCAAAAAAACATTTTGATTGCAACTTTTGTGTTGGACAACCTTCAAAAGGTTGGGGGTGACATTTTGACATATGGTGATATGGTGTGTGAGATAGTGTATTCATGTATGTGCATGCATGTGTGTGTGATATGAGAATGCATACATGTGTATGTGCACTTTTGTGTCTGAGGAAATACATGCGTATGCATGGGTGTGTATGTGTGTGAGAGAGCATGCATGTGTGTGTGTGTGTGTGTGTGTGTGTGTGTGTATTTGTGTGTGTTTCTTCCCTAGCCTGATGAGTAGCAAGTTCATCTTGTAGGCCAATTTGTTTTTTTAGTACAGTCAACCTTCACTGGGTGCTCTATTTTTATGGTCTTGTACCAGACAAAGTTAAACCGCCAGTTCAAAATGTTTCTTTATTATGCTTTTTTTTTTATATGGAAGGCAAAATTCACTCAACTCATCACAGTATTTTTCTCTCATTACCAAATGCATGGATAAGTTTTACGAAATGCAAAATTATTCCCCAAAACTGAAATTCTTTTTACTTCATTCTAATGGGAAATCGACTGGAGATGACATCGCTTTATGATGCTCTCTGCTTTCTACAATTCAACATTGCTGAGAGATGCCTCCAGGTTGTACATGGTGGGGGGGTGTACGTAAGAGAAGTGAAATCAGTGTAAAATGTTGAACGTGACTGTATTATTTACTAAAGCGAAATTAATGCCATGTTTTCTAGGAATTCAAATGTGAAATTGAAATTTTAAAAAAAAATCAAAATCAAATTGTTTGAGTAATGGTAATGGTAAACCTGTATAGATAGATAGATAGATAGATAGATAGATAGATATGAACAGGCTAAGATAGATAAATATGAACAGACTGAGACAGATATATGTGAACAAACTGAGATAGATAAATAGATAGATAGATATGAACAGACTGAGATAGATATGAACAGATTAATATAGATAATTATGAACAGACTGACAGACAGACAGATAGATAGATAGATAGATAGATAGATAGATATGAACAGACTGATATAGATAGATATGAACAGACTGACAGATAGATAGATAGATAGATAGATATGAACAGACTGATATAGATAGATATGAACAGACTGACAGATAGATAGATAGATAGATAGATATGAACAGACTGATATAGATAGATATGAACAGACTGACAGATAGATAGATAGATATGAACAGACTGATATAGATAGATATGAACAGACTGACAGATAGATAGATAGATAGATAGATAGATAGATAGATATGAACAGACTGATATAGATAGATATGAACAGACTGACAGATAGATAGATAGATAGATAGATAGATAGATAGATAGATAGATAGATATGAACAGACTGATATAGATAGATATGAACAGACTGACAGATAGATAGATAGATAGATAGATAGATAGATATGAACAGACTGATATAGATAGATATGAACAGACTGACAGATAGATAGATAGATAGATATGAACAGACTGATATAGATAGATATGAACAGACTGACAGATAGATAGATAGATAGATAGATAGATAGATAGATAGATAGATATGAACAGACTGATATAGATAGATATGAACAGACTGACAGATAGATAGATAGATAGATAGATAGATAGATATGAACAGACTGATATAGATAGATATGAACAGACTGACAGATAGATAGATAGATATGAACAGACTGATATAGATAGATATGAACAGACTGACAGATAGATAGATAGATAGATATAAAAAAATTAATTTACATATAGGTAGTAATTTTAATCAGGAATGATAATCCAACAATAGAGATGATAATCTCTATATTTCTGAATGAGTTGGATGACATGAATGTTTTTATTCACAATGCAAACTTCATGCTAACATTAACCCAAATGATGGGGATTTGTAACAGCTTATCATTTACAGGTTATTTAAAGACAGAACATATTTTCATATTGTAAGAATTTTGTTAATAATGATTATAAAGAACCCATAGTTGAGGGGGGAGAAGAAGTGGATTCATAACTTTCCCAAGTGTATTTGTTCATAAGTGACTATAAAGAACCTGACTGGAATTGGAACTCTCCTCTGCGGTTTCTAATTCCGACCCATTATCCATTACACCACCCGCACATCCAAGCTTACAGCACCTGGTATTCCCAAGTGGTCACCCATCTATGTACTGACCAAGCCCAGCATTGCTTAACTTAATCACTGATTAACAATTCTGAGCTATTATCCATTACACCACCCGCACATCCAAGCTTACAGCACCTGGTATTCCCAAGCGGTCACCCATCTATGTACTGACCAAGCCCAGCGTTGCTTAACTTAATCACTGATTAACAAAATCCGAGCTATTATCCATTACACCACCCAGACATCCAAGCTTACAGCACCTGATTATTCCGAACTAGTCAACCATATAGGTACTGACCAGGCTCGACATTGCTTAGCTTTGGTGATCTTTCAGTGTGCACTAAAGCTGAGAAGTCACACTAACACTAACAGGGCAAGTGATGTGGTTTTTGTTATTTGCTGACGTTCCTCATGATTTTGTAGTAGCAATCAAAGTGGTTTGTGAAAGATTGTCTTTTTTAAAACCTAAAAGATTCATTCATTTGAGTCCATTTTTAACCATTGATCTGGGAAAACGGTTGTATACGGATGATTTCTCAATGTGTTTGATGCTGTACATGACATATGCACGAGAGCCTAGATCTGATATGGTTATTTTAGAACGTGACATAAGATTTCAGGTCAATATTTTGGTTTTGTAGCATCTGGCTGTGTTCAAAAAAGTACACCCTTTCTTCACTCCCTAGCTATTGAACTGCAATCAAAGTGTTATATCTGTTCTCCTCATCTCTAATGATACTGGTAATATTAGCCATTTCCTTATAAAGAAACATTCATTATTGATTGACTAAACAGCTAGTGCTACTTTAGATATGTTTTTTTACTCCATGGTCACCAGGTTGGGATCAAAGTGTAGTATCTGTTCTTTTCATCTATAATACTAATATTAGTTGTTTCCTTATAAGGAAACATTCATCATTCATTGATTGGGCATCCAATGCTACTCAAGTTATAGTTTTCTTCACTCCCTAGCTATGGAGCTGTGATCAAAGTGCCATATCAGTCTCCCCATCTTTAAAGGTAATGGTAATATTAGCTGTTTCCTTATCTACAGACTTCATTCACACACAGTCATTTTTAACCATTGATATGGGTCAGTGGTTGTATTGAGCTGAGAGTTTAGATATTTCTGAATGAGCTTGGTGCCAGGCATGACAGCCTCAATGTAACGAGGTTATTTAAGAACATGACATAAGTTTTAAGGTTAATGTTTTCATTAGAGACTTTTACAATCTTTTGTTTATATATCATATATACTCATGTATAATGCGACTTTTGGAAGACACAATTTTGAAGTTAATTTTAAGAGGGTAGCATCATACGTGAGATATGAAATTAGTCTATGTATTGCTGGCTCTGACTACGCTGTTGAGCAAATTATATATCTATTTACTGTAGTAAAATTAGCTTCAAAATTAGGTTTTCAAAGTTTGCATGATATGCAAGTATATATGATATTTTTTTTGGCAATGCCATCTGGTGGTTGTTAGTATGGTAAACAAGGGGAAGTAACCTCACAGTACTTATGTTTTGAGTTACAATACCTTTTGAATCTTTTATGTGATGTGAACGATCATGGCTCTTCACAACTTCCTATCCATTGATCAGATAGAGCACAAGACCATGATGAATACAGGATTAGTAAATTTTCACTTTATTGACATCACTCATAGTGATTTACTAAGCATAAATTAGATGTGGCAACAAAGCTGAAGGTAGGAAGCATCCAGTGGGGATCGAACTCACTACTCAGTTGTAATTGATCTAGCGAAACAAGCCCCTTATGTATTCATTTATCTCTCTTGATGTATTCATATTCTATGTCAGGTCACACTATAAGTGCTACCAGTACCATGTAACCTAGTACTACCTGTCACATAGTTCGTTCACCAGTGACTAGACTAATTCCCCCTGGCAGACTTTTCTGGTGAGAATGGTCAGCTAAACACACAGCAGGAGGACCTATCAAATTGTGGATGAACTTTCTTGAAGGGTCAGTGGCTATCAAGCATAATGGGGTAGTTTGAGCTACTGAAACGCATTAGTGGAAGCATGCTCCTGAGGGGATGCTTCACTGCCTTTGGAACTAGGAATCTTATTAAGTTGGAAAAAATCCTTAAGAAAGGAGAATATGAGCAGTAGTGTAGCTAGAGGAGGGCATGGGTTGCCATGGGTGAAACTTTTATGAGAGCAGCACTTTTATGGGGGCAGCACTTTTAAGGGGGCAGCACTATTGTGCCTCATGAAGGTTATCAGCCTGTATAGGCTGTATTGAAATAAGAATAGTTTTAATGTTGGGACAGTATTCATAGTTGAAGGACTTTTTGAATCCTTTTTGGTCCTCTCTCACCAAAAGCAGAAAAACCTATTTAATTCAATTCTCTTGTTACATTGAGCAACACAAGGCACAAATCTCTTCTAGGGAGTAAACAAACTTTTTTTTTTTTTTAAGCATTTCATTCTAAGCAAGGTGGAAGTGCCACTAATACACAAGGGGTTACAGAGAATGGGACAAGAGTAAAGAGGGATGATAGAAAGGATGAAGAGAAGGACAGGGAATTAGATCAAGGCATCTGAAGATGTCGATTAACAATGCACTTGAATAATTGAAGATTATAGCTATCAGGAAGGCAAGTAAGAGGAAGGGAGTTCCACAGACAGGAAGTGCGATACATGAAGCTATTAGAGTAGAAGAGACGGCTACATTTAACCATTTCGACAGTGAAAGGGTTGGACTGACATGCCAACCCAGTAGCACGCATAAATTGATGCAATTTGGAAACTAACAAAATTAGCTCATTGGAGCAGTTAACATGAAAGTATTTGTTGAAAAGACAGAGGGAAGCAACAGCATGTCTGTGAGAAAGTGACTATAGACGAGATGCCAGATTAGAACCAATCATATTGCATATCTGTGTCTAGATTTTGTTGAGTACCTTGAGATGAATGAGGGCTCCAGACCATATATGGCAGCAGTATTCCATGCAAGGGTGAATGGTTATAGATTTGAAGGATAGACTCAGGCAAGAAAAACTTTCTGGCATGACACATAGAACCAACTTTCCTTGCAGTAGATGAAGTTCTTGATTCACTGTATTTGTTCCATCTCAGGTCAGCGAACAGTGTGGGACCAAGCAGGTGCAGAGAGGTGCTCTTGTTGAGTTGAGCATCAGACATTCTAATGAGAGGCAGAGAGGGTTCTCTGCAGTGGGTAAAAGAGAGCAGTTTTGTTTTTGAGGCTTTAAAGTTTACCAGCCTTTTCTTGCCCGAGTCAACCACAGATTGGAGGTCTTTTTCAGGTTAGTTTTGTCAGTGATACCAGATTTGCTGTTAAAGCAGGAGTAAATAATGGTGTCATCTGCATAGATACCTACTTGGGAACTGATGACATCGGGACGGCCATTAATGAAAATCAGAAAAGGTGTAGGACCCAGGATAGTGCCTTGGAGAACACCTGCGTTCATGAGAAGGAACTGAAGGAGAATCCATTTAGGAAAACCTTCATTACACGGTTTCACTGTCATGATTGTATTAAGTCAAATAATCGTCCTTAAATCCTGTATCCTATAAGCTTACAAAGAAGGCCAGCATGCCTAACCCTATCAAATGCTTTAGAGATATCTATAGCCACAGCCCAAGCATTTGTGTTATTGTGAAGTATTTGGTAAATAAATTCAGTCATAGCCATGACCACATCAGCGATAGATTGGGCAAGCGGAAAACATATTGCTTGTCAGAGAGCAGATCATGGGATGCAAGGTGCTTAACCATTTTGGAATTGATTAAAGCTTCAAAGACTTTGCCGAAGAGTGATAGGAGATTGATAGGATGATAGTAGATGGGTTGGAAGGGTCTCCAGAGTTCTTAAACACAGGTACAACAGATGAAGACTTCCAACAGGCTGGAAAGCAAGAGTTGTTGAGGCAGTAGTTATTTAGTTTAGAGAGGACAAGAGCCAGTTCAGGAGCACATTTCTTCAGGACAATGGCTGATATCCTGTCCTCACCATTAGCCTTATTGGAGTCTAATTTAGAGACGATATCCAATACCATCGATGGGGTTATGTGCAACTCATTCATTTTATGTCAAGACATTTTATCCTTGTATGAACACCGGACAGAGTGATCCAAGAAGAAACTTTGAGATTGCAACAGCTTTATTAAGTTGCTGAGAAATAAGCCTTCCATACCCCATTGAATCATTTGGATGATAAATATTTATATCAAATAACTCACAATCACAACATTGATAAAGAGGAGTTCCTTGTTCAGAGAAAAAAACTTCAGCATTTTATTGCTGTTGTTGCTAGTAAAGATGGAATACAGACATTGAAAGAAGACCCCCACCTTGAACTTTTGAAGTTTATTCAAAAGTATAACCTTGGGAATTAATAATGCTGTGGTTTTTCCTTACAGTTGCTGTTAGTGTTGCTACCTGAGTGAGAAGATTTTTTAATCTAAAACCAATCAAGAATTACTTATGATCTGCTATGAGTAGCTTGTGTTTGAAAAATCCTGCCATACAGTCTATAAAGTGACAACAGATAAAATATATTTTTGATAATGTCATTGAAGAATTTGC